ATCTGGCTGGGCCGCAGGAAGTGCCAGCGCCACGTCTTCCTCTTTGAGGACCTGATCCTGTTCAGCAAGCCCAAGAGGATCGAGGGTGGCTTTGATGTGTATATCTACAAGCGCTCCTTCAAGGTAAGGGCAGGTGTGCACATTGCTCTTGCTCAGGAGGTGACTCTGGACTTCTCCCTGAAGGTTTTGTGTCCCCCTTTACATCGGGTCATCTTTCTCCCCTGCCCTGCCTGCCACTGAGTTCACCTTTCCTTTTCCTGGTGCGGCCCCAGCTGATGCTTTGCTCTTCCTTCTTTCTGGCAGACTGCAGACATCGGTCTGACGGAAAACTCTGGGGACAGTGGGCTGCGTTTTGAGATCTGGTTCCGAAGGCGGAAATCCAGCGACACTTACATCCTCCAGGCCAGCTCAGCTGAGACCAAGCAGGCCTGGACCAGTGACATTGCCAAGATCCTGTGGCAGCAGGCAGCCCGCAATAAAGGTGTGATTCCTTCCCAGGGCGTCTGTGCCGCAAAAGGTGCGGGAGCCCCGTTCAGCTCGTGCTGTTCTGAGTAGGTTTGGAGCCTATTACCAGACAGCTTTGTGCAGCAAGCAGCCGTGTCCCTGCATGCAGCCTCAGGAGCATGTGCTGGGGTTGGCTGAGTGCTGTCCCTTCCCTGCCCTTTGTCCTCAGAGACCCCGACGGCAGTCCGCACTCTGTGTGGCTGTGTGCCCTGAGAGAAATGGGAGCTGTCAGTATGGGTTTCCTGTCCCGTGAGAGTGGCACCGCTTGTGAAAAGCTCACTGTTCTCCCCTTGCTATCCGACAGCCTTGCTATCGGAGCGGCAGCTGCCTGGCTCAGGCTGGCTGACTCCCTCCCCTCCACCTCAAGCTTCCTGCTTGGCAGGACACTCACAGCTGGCATGGCGCTGGACCCTGGGACCAGAGCAAAGCATGGCTGCTTGTTTGTGGAGACTCCTCAGGACTGGGGAACGGTGGGAGAACAGATGGAATGGGGGTGTCTCAGGAGCAGCCTGCTCCTGGGGCAGCTGGATGCCTGCAGAGAGGGCTGGGGCAGCCTGACAGGCAGCTGTGGGTTGCTTTTGAACACTTTGCTCTTCCCCTGCAGAAATCCGCATGCAGGAGATGGTCTCCATGGGTGTGGGCAACAAGCCATTCCTGGATATCAAACCCAGTGAGGCTGCTATCAATGACCGTGCTATTGACTACATCATGAAAGGCAGAGGTAGGTGCCAGCCTCGCCTTTTTCCTGCTCCAGATGAGCCCAGCAGGCTGGCACTCACGGCTTTTTCGTTGTGTTTTGTGGCAGCTGCCAGGACCAGAGCATCGATCGCAGTGTCTCTCTTCGACCATTCCAACCCGTACAAGAGGACGCAGGTGCAGCTCTCTGCTGGCAGCACCCCTGCTGCGTATGGCCCGTCCTCCTCCTCGCTGCTGGGGCCCCTCAACCTGCACATGTACCTGGACCAGGCGCTGCTGCCCGGTGTCCTGGCCCCCCGGCGCCCCTTTGATGTCAGCCCCTGCATTGAGGAAGATGAGCTGGAGCACGAGACGAGCAGCCAGCCATCACTGAGTACGTATGGGCCTCCCGTGCTGCTGCACAGCAGGGGTCCACCCTTGGTGTCCTTGTGCTGTGTGCTCGTCCCCGCTGCATGCTCACAGCAGGCTCACTGGGGTCACTGCAGAGCCTGCCCTGTGTGCTGGCCCCGAGCTAAGCTGTCTCCTGTTCAATTTCTGGTATTGTTTGTTACAGTTCCTTAGAATGTTTTGTTTCCTGTGGCTTTAAAGTGGCCCAGATAGCTGTGAGACTTACCTGTGGGCTTGTGCGACCTCTGCGGGAGGGTTTGTTGCTGAGTGCACGTGGCACACATGGTGTAGGCCAAATTCACAGAATGACTTTCCTGTTCTTCCCCAGCCACAGAGAGCTCCGAGTCCTCGCACTGCATGTCAGGCAGCGGCTCCAGCGGCTCCGACAGCGGCTGTGTCTCCAGCATCCCTCAAGAAAGCTTCTGTGAAGACGTGGGTTCGCCCCCCTACGTGCCCCTGGGCTCACAACACAGCTCTGCGATGGAGGGCAAAGCTCGGTTCACAAACAGCCAGTACATTTCTGCAGTAAGTGCAAGCAGCCAAAGCTCTCTCTTCGCTCTGCCCGTTCCCGCCGCTGCCTCCCCGGTTCAAGGCACTGCCTCTCACGTGGGGACTGAAGATGCTGCTTTTGGGCTGGGAGTCGCTGTGGGGAAGTGACGCTTCCTCCTGCAGAGACTCTCCTCTTCTGGGGCAGGCGAGAGCCCCCGTGTTGTGAGAGCCTCACCTTCGGTGACCGAGATCCCTGAGGAGGTGCACTGGAAAGGATCTGCAGTGCTGGAGGCTGCGTCGGGAGGGGATGCTGCACGTCCTGGGGTTGAATGGACGGAGCTGTGCCGCGGATGCTGCTGAGCTCCTTCCCTGGGAGGTGTGGGCCTTCTGTGGGGAGCGATGAGATGGAGCGGTGGGGAAGAATGGCAGCCTGTTGCTCTGTGATGTAACTGCTTCTCCTCTTAGTTCCTGAGGGTTCTCAGCCACCTCCATTCCCACTAGCTTGTGTCCTGACGCTGTTGTCCTCTAACTCCGTACTAATGCTGGCTTCTCTCCTCTGCAGAAAGCAGGCCAGGCTACCATAAGTCCCTCGACAATAGTGTGATCCCCTCTGCACACGTATACGGCCTAAGGAAGTGGAGTTGTTGTAAGTAGCCCCTAAAGGGGATTTTCCAGCTGCTCCAAGTGCTGGTCAGATTTGGTAGGAGCTCTGAGACAGGAGGCCTCACCCTCTACTTCCCCTGAGAAGCTTTCCACACACATTCCTGACCAGTCTCTGAGGCTCTCATTGATCTGGTTAGAGCTGACCAACTCCCACAGCCAGAGCCATCACCTTAAATAACAGGTCTGATGCCTCTCTGGTTTGAAGGAGCAGAAACAAAACCAGCAGAACCACGTTCAGGTAGCAGAGGTTGAGCACTACCTCGTTCGTGCGTCGGTGCTCAAAAATGAGCTTCTCTGCTCTCAGTGCTGTCCAGCTATCTAACCACTAACCTGTTTCTTGTGGCTGTTTGCTAAAATCCTGCTCTTCCTTTTGTCCCACTGAGCTGCCTTGAGGGGGAGTCCATGGTGTTCTCCCCAAGCTGGATTTATCCCAGTTTCCTTTGAACCTCCCGAGGAAACCGCAGGCGGCACCAATCACAGGATGCTGCTGGGTCGTGGGCAGAAAGTCCTGAGGGAACCACCAGATGTTGTTCCCCAGGATCAGGGCTTGAATGGGCAAGGCACAGGGTGACGGATGGTGGAGCGTTCTGCAGGTTGGGGCGTTGTACTGCCCTACACAGCGCCAGCTGCCGAGGTTAAAGCTGGGGACCCCACCTCCTTTTGGGGCAGCTGGCAGACAGGGCCTTCTGAAGCAGTCACAGCTGCAGTGGGGTTTGCTGGCCCGCTGCAGTGACAGCAGCACACGGCCTTGAGTGAGTCCTGAGGCACGAGGGCAGCTCTGAGCCTGGGGAGCAGAGCCTCCACAGAGGCTCCTCCACCAAACGCTCCTTCTGCACTGAAACGCAGCTCTGACAAACCGTGGCTTTAAAGCATTTTGTGAGCTCACAGCTGGCTGGGCTGGGGAGCTGCAGGATCCTGCCGCCTCACGGAGTGCAGCCAGTCTAACCATTGCACGGTGCTGTGTTCCAGGTTTGATTGCCATTTCAAACTCACTGAAGACCCCAGGCCTCTGACCAGCAGAAGGAGACAGTCTTCACCCGTGAAGATGTTTTTACACTTAAGCGGGCTCTGTCAGACAGCACAAAAGCTGACCTGTGGCAGGGGGAAGCCCAGGAAGGTTTCTGTCAGCTACGCTTATAGCTCTGGTGTTGGATGGGACCTCGGGCATTTGAAACTTGTTAGCCCTATATTTATAAGTAATAAGTAACATAGCTGTTTGGAAAAAAATGTATTATTTTTAAAGCTATGTGCTGTACAGATTTTTTGTTACAAGTGACCCTGTTACTATTTGTTCTGTAAGCTGCACATTTTATAAAGTTTTTGGAAGGGCGAGAAACCAAGGTATTTAAGAAAAGTAGAGTAACTTTCCGTTTCAGGGTTATATTGACCTGGAGCTCGAGCTTAATGTCCTTCCTTATGTTCTAAATATGTCTATCATAGCAATAATTTATTTTCTCGGCTTAACACTCCTGTTTTAATAAAAGCAAGTTTCATTGTTACGGTGAATTGTTTTCTTCAGACCGTTCTTCCAGTGCCTCGGTGCTGAGCTGCTCTGTCTTAACCCCCTGCTCCTGCACTAACCCGCCGGCTCGCCGTGCCTCCTAGGAGTGCCTTCCCCCAGGTGAGGTGGGGCAGGGGAGGGGGGCTGCGTGCTGGGGGCTGAGCTGTGCCCCCCTCCCCTCTGTGCTGCTGCTGGGCCAGTTTGCAGTGGGCAGCAGCGACCTCAGGCTGCTGCTGGGCGGCTGCGGGGGCTGAGAGCAGGCAGACTCGGACCACGCGTTATCCGAAACTTGTTCCTCTGACTCTGGAAATTCCTGTACTGTACGTAAAACACTTGTTTATTTTTAATAAGGTGAATGTGTTTTGTTTTTTAAAAAGCCTTTTTTGTAGACAGCAGCTAGAACACAGTTGACACCTTTGTATATGAAATCGTGTGGGGAACGGTTGCACTGGGACGCATTGAGAAGTTACTGTTTTAAAATCTTTGCTAAGTTAATGCAAGGTTTGGGGCTGTCAAGGCAGCAGTAGCTCGTGTCACCAGAGGGAAAGAGTTTACCAATGCAAAAAGAAAAACAAACTTCCTGAATGTCTCAGTTTCAAAGATTTCTGCAGTGCTGGAAAAAAAAAAACAAAACCAAAAACAGCCCACAAACAGAAAAACCTTAATGTTTACCTGATGCTGTTTTTTTTCAGGGTTGGATTTGTCTAATAAATGTTATTTACTTTGTACGAATCTTGCTGGTGTGTGCTATGGTGATTTCAGCCTGAGAGGCAGCAGCCCTGCTGGGGGAGCACAGCTGCCCCTTGGGCACCCAGCTGCCCTTTGCAGGGGCTGAGGGAGACTGAAACGCTGTTTTCTTGGCAGGGTGGTGAATGGGGGGGGGGAATTAAAGCTCAGATGAGATGTGCACCCTCTCGTTGCAGGGATTTTTATTAACGTTCTGTAAACTTACATTCCCAAGGGAAAGGAGGAGACGGAGCGAGCAAAGCCTCTGTGTAGCAGCAGCTGGAGGCAGCGGCTGTATTTCCGTGCCGAGGGCAGCGTGAACTGGAAGAGCACAGGTAGGGCTGGTGTCAGACTGCAGAACCACCTTTGCCCACGTTGCTCACCCACCCCGGGAGCCGTCCGCCGCCTTTTGCGGGCAGCCTCGTGAACGAGCAGCACGCTCTTTAGCTGTTAGGAAGGCTCGATGTGACGGAGCCGATCTGCGCTGTAAAGCCCTCGCCGTATTTAATTCGCTAGCGAACGGCTGGGGAGAGTAAATCAAGCCGATAGTATTGAGAAGCCCCGCAGCATCACCTGGTGGCGAGTGCTACTTACTTCCACCCACTTCAGAAGCTGCTCACGAACGTTTCCATCCCCTTTGAAGTATTCTGTGCTCAGTAGGTCATCAACGAACGCCTTGGGTGCGATCTGCTGGGTCTGAAATAGAACACATTATCATAACAGTAGGCAAATGAGGAAGAGCTCCGTCTCTCCTTGAAGTTTCTAAGCCCTGGCACCCAGTGAAGCCTGGGGAGGTCAGGAAGGCACAGCGCTGCTCTCTGAGCACTCAGACCTACCCACAGCCTGTCCACGAGGGTCATGACTTTGGCTGTGATTTCCCTGGGGTCCTTCTGCCTGATGGAGTCCAGGATGACATCGGTCAGGAAGAAGTGGCACTGCCTGGCGTAGAACATCTCCTCGTGGGAGAGAGTGAAGCGAAGGAAAATGGTGTCTGCAAGAAACACATCAACAAAACCATCAGGATCAAAGGATGCAGCTGCAGCATTCCAGTCAGCAGCCGTGGGCTTCTTTAACGCCTGTCCTGCCCGAGGAATCCTGCAGTCAGTTTTCAAATCTGAGCTCAGTGTCAGCATTTGCCTGAACACACACAGACTTCAGGCCATTGATCTCGGGCTTTGTTTCTGTTCTTTTGATTTTCCCCTGGTTCGTTCCAGAGGGAAGGCTAACAGCTCTGCAGCAGCACCCCACAGCTATTTGCATCTCCTTACCTTCGGGGAGCCCCTGAGGCTTTGACTTCTCCAGCTGGACGCCGCCCAGCAGAGTGCTGTAAACGATGCTCTCTTCGTGCCACGTGTGACAGCCATCGCTGCCTAGAACTGGAGGATGCTCAACTTTCAGAATCACTGCCGCTGTTCCCTGAGCTTCCTGGAGAGCTTTGGTACGCTGGCTGTCCCTCGGTTCTGTGAATCAGTACAGTTTGGGTTCTGTAGCAAAGCCCATGCAGTTGTAGTGGATAAACATTTGCTCTCTTGCGTGACCACAAAATGGATCTTACTGAAGTTCTGCCCTTTTTTGGTCTTTGTGAGGAAAAGCGTAACAGTAATGGACAGAAAATGGCAAACTGAACATCAAATCATTTACAGCCTTTAGCACAACATCACAGCTCTTATCTACTTCCCTCTTCCAGGGGAAAAGGAACCATGACACACAGCGTAACGAAACCCGAGCACCTTTTAGGCCAGGGTTCTTTCAAGGGTTATGAAAGAGGATTTCATATAGGAAAAAGAGCAACCTGCCTCGTACTGCTATGAAACAAAACCAGATCATTATGAACACGGCTTGCTGGGCCAGCAGTTCGGTGCCAACTTACCGCCTGCCCTCGGGATGGGCTCCACCTGCCAGCTCCTGTCTTTTCCTTCACCAGGAAAACTTCCTATGAGCAGAACAAGGAAAGCGATGAGACCATTGGTCAAATTCAGCAGCAGGATCCAAGCATCTCACGTATCGTGATTCAGTTCGTTACTCTCCTCATTTTTGCAAACAGGCAGAGAGCAATCGTTTACCTTCTGCTGCTTCCCTGTTTACGTTCCTGATGTTTTTCCCTGTTGGGAGAGTTTTGACGGTGTTGAACTGATGCGTTCCAGTGCTTGGAGTAACTGGCAAACTCTCTTTGGACACGTCTTGCTGTCCTTCAGCCCCACGTTTGGGCTCATTTTCTGGAATTGCAGAGCTCACTTTCCCAGCGGAACAAGCAGGAGAAGCTTTGACACCTCTGTCCTGCTCAGCAGCGCCTGTGACACAACCATCAGATACTTCCACGTGCTGAGAACCCCATCTCTTGGAGTTGAGCGTGCCCCATTCCTTCACCAGGGAAAGTAATTTCAGGGTGTCAATGGCCGAGTCTTTATTTTCTGCTTGTTTCCTTAAACTGCTTCTCATCCCCCTCTTTCTTGGAGGGCTTTCTGACCGCAAGCTGGATTTCACCGTGCTGGGTGAGGATTCCTCTTGTCCTCCAGCGGCGTTCTTTCGCTTCGTGCCCCCACTCTGTGGCACCACCTTGGGAGGCTTTGCCTTCCCCCCACTGCTGTCTCGCTTCCCCTTCAGATCTTTTATGTTGCTCCGTGTATCGATATGTTTCCTGGAATCCACAGGTGCACATGAATACACCTAAAGCAGAGCAAAGCACTGTTCTGCATGGAAGGAAGAACAAATCTTGACTTTCCTAACAAAAGGTATCTTTGATTCTAATGCAAGCCTTTAAGAGCCAAGGAAATGCTTTCTCACTCCTATGCCTGTGCTGTGCCTTAGCCCTGCCCTGGCAATCCAGCACTGGTGCTGCACTGTCTGGAATCGCCTCTGTTCGCACCACTGAATGCTCAGCAAGGCTTTCTATGGCAATGCCTTCTGAAAGGCCAATCTTACCTCTCTGGGGTCTTTGCTGAACTCACGCTCCTTGTTCCAAGGCACTCTACGTGGAAAAGAATCCTCATTCCTCAGTTCCTTGTTTTGGATCCATAACCTAGAGAGTAGATATTTGTGATTAACATAGAACGCCTCCCCTGCAACAGGGGCTTCCACTCACCAGGGGTTCTGTGTGGATCCCTTTCATTTTTATCACAAGTAACTTCTAAGCTACTGGGGAAGGAAAGGAACTCTCTGTTATCACTGGTGCGTAATGTGAAGATAGCAAAGGCCCAAGAGCCTTCATTGCTCACCTGGGCTGAGGATTTCTGAACTGTGATGCTGCAGATAAAAATGATCTTTTCTTCTGTTCCAGCATCCACAAAACTTTAACCAGTGGATTCATGTGAGCCTTGCTGATAGATCAGACTTGGGGTTTGTTTTTCTCTCTCTTTGGTAAGGATGCACTACACTCTTCTGGGGAGAAAGCTATTCAGAGCCAGGCCAATCATCTACGTGCATGGAATCCAAATTGAATTTTAAGCCTGCCTAAGAAAGCGAGCTCCTGGTGGTGACTGCCTGAGCAGCACGTGAGCTTTTGAAAAGGTGAAACAACTCTAGAAGCACAGAGTAGCTGCTAGGAAGGAAGGAGGGAGGGAAGGAAGGAAGGAAGAAAGAAAGGAAGAAAGAAACTGCTTCCCAGTGAGCTGCCCATAGATTCAGATTGGGGAAGGCTGCCCATTGGGCTGGCAAGGAGCTGTAGGAACCCACCTGGCTCCCTAGAGAACACAGGAAATGGAGCATACACAAATGGGTTTTGCAGAGTCACAGATCTTATAAGGCCAGAGCAAATCCTCCAGGGAGTCTCCAGAAACCAGCAGGGGTTTGGCAAAGCCAGGTTTGAGCCCAAGCCGCTGAGTAAGAACGTTTCCATTCAGTCTGGTAACTGTACAATGGGTTTCCTGAAGGAAATGCAATATTTTCCCTATCTGGAATCAGGAGAAGATTTCAGTTGTCTATTTTCTTAGTTCTTGGAGAGCCAAAGGCTCTTCTGTCTCTGTATCCATATAACTAATGGGGAAAGAGCATGGCCCAAAAGAGAATGGAACTGCTCATCCTGCAGGGGCTGTATCTCAGAAGGCAGTGACAAAGCTGTGCTCCTTTGAGAAAGACGACTACTGCTGGGTCAGATGAAAGCACGTTGTGCCAGAGGAAGGCAAAAGAAAGAAGAAATGTTTCACCTACCTGTACGCCTCGCAGTGACGAAGTGCCTCTGAGAGGGAAGGGATCCCGTACTCCTCTGCTTCTTGACAGAATAGAGGCCATTCTCTGTGAGGTGTAAATTAACAGTGCAGCCACTGAATGAACAGTCTTAACAACCTTTTCCAATTATGCATCGATTTGGGAAGCTGAAGCAGCACACAAAAAAAGATGCACTCACAGCAGCGATTTCCCTTACAACGTTGCAGACAAGAAGCCTGCCATATTGAGTACCCAAAAAGTGCCCAAACCAACCTTTCGGCGTTGCATTTTCAGACCTAACATCTCAACAACGAGCAAAAATAATCTCATTCTGTTGAAAGCAATAGGAATCTTAGCATTGACTACCACTGACTTCTACGCTGCCCTTCCAACAATTCCCAGGCACTGTTTGGCCAACCAGGACTGTTTGCAGAGGACAGAGGAGGGAAAGCAGCCCCTCTGGGAGGTGAAGGTGGGTCACCAGCAGAAATCCCACAACCAGAAACATTCCCAGACATATTCAGTTTGCTGGCACAGGGATGACAGTGGTGCCTGACATTCAGTTTCCTGCGTGCCTGTGATGTCAGCCGTGAAAGTAAACAGGGATTAATGCACAGAAGCAGCCACCAGTGTAATGTTTCTGGTGACTCTGAGGAAAAGAATGAAAGTATATACAACAGCTAACTGAGTAAAATTGACCACGTCAGCTGGCGGCCTGAAAGGCCTTGATCTGAACTGAAGAGAGCCCGCCAACTGGAGCTGATTGGAGGCTTCAAAGACCAAAGAAAGCAGAAGATCTCCTGATGTCACGCAGGGCTTCTGCTGCCAAGGGCAAAAATTCACAATGGGCAGCAACAGGAGAAGCACCAGTGCCTGCAAGGAGCCAAGGCACCAAGAGGGCAGCGCTGTGCAGCCTGACGGGCAAGGGAAGGATGTGATGTGGGACCACGTCAAAGGCCTTGCACGAGTCCAGGTAGATGATATCAGCTGCTCTTCCTTAGTCCACCAAATGAGTCACGTCCTGATAAACGTATGGCTAGGAATCTGCAGAGGCCTATGAGTACGTTAATGTCAGCACGAGTACCTTAAGACCAGAAGCACTCCTGCCAGGGAAGGCCTTTCGCTTGCCTAGAAACCCAGCACCTTTTCTCAAATCATGCAGGTCTCTCTTCCACAATGGCTCCTGCAGGAACATCCTTAGGAGGCAGATGTTGAAGCCATCACCATTTCTGATGTTTCATAAACGTGAGGGAACTCACAGGCTGGCAATGCCTACAGAGGGAGAGCACCCTCTCCTGCTTAGGACCCCAGTATTCCTGCTTTCCTACACCTCTGTGGTTTTGGAAGAGATGTTTCAGCATTAAAACAGAGATACCAGCAGAGGGTGCAGATGAAATATTTTTCAGTTGATCCAATTCAGACTTTGCTGTCCTTAACACCTCTATATAGATATATAATATAAACCAACCGGCCCCAAAACCCCACAGCTGAAGAAAGATGCCATGGTTTCCATCAATACAAAAGCATTTTTCTTTTTGCTAGGAGTGTGCACAGAGCACACATCTGTGGCCTTTCCCACAGGACAAGGGTCTGCTACACCTCTCATTAAAATAAATAAAGGAAAACCGATCTCACAGTTACCTCTAACTTCCAACAGTTGACTTTCGGACAGAGCAGGTTGCTTCAGGGCCGAAAATAGATTCCTTCTTTTTTTTTTGGATAGTATTTCTATGAACATTAGAAACCAGACGCCCATGCTTGTTTCCCATACGACCACCTGTGGTCCAATCAAACCCATGAGTTCACTCTTACTTGAATTCCGCAGGCAGAAACAATTTCCCAAGTCGGAGGAAGTTGAGGACGTGTCGGAACATCTGCCCGTCCCCGTGGATCAGAAGGCTTTGACCATACGTGATCCAACAGACCTTCTTGTCGTTCGACAGCAGCTCTGGGTACTACAGAAACAAAAAAGACGTTAAGGTAGCAGGAAGGATGCTGAACCAACTCCATCAGGTCTGCTGATCTTATTAACCCGATGCCTCGTTAGCCCTGGAAGTGCTTTCTTAGTGAGTCCAACACTGATTTGCCTCAGGCATCTGAACTTACTCTATTGAATAGAGTACTCAGGGCAAATCCATTCTAATAATTGCTGTTGTTAGAAATTTAGCTTAGTTGCTGCAGAATTATAGATTCTGACTTGAGAAGTTGCAGCTCAATCAGCCATCCATACCTTCAGTAAAGTCTGTAGGTACGTTTCATACCAGTTACTTCCTACATAAACCTTCACAATCTGGTGCAGGGTACATACTGACACTTCTGCTGTCCAGTCTGCGTCTGGAAACAGAGCAAGAAATGCAAAGGGGACAATGAGGGCCCTACAGGCTGAAGCAGGAGCCAGCAGAAAAAGATCAGTCGTTAAATGCATGCAGGCAAAACTGCTCGTTATAATTTAAAACAGAAGAGTGTTTGAAGAACTGTGACTTACTGCAATCTCCGCTCCCTGATGGCATCTGTTGCTTCAAATAGCATCTTAAAGCCTCTTTCACTGGCTCATGGGTGATGTCCCCTCTGTCCAAGAAAGCGCAGAGCTCTTGGATTTCAGAGATGTTCTCAGTGAGGGGAAGTCGGCAAGTTCCCAACCAATTCCTGCCCAAAAGGAGGAGCCTTTATGGTTCTGCTTTACACCTACTGCTTATTTATTATCACTTTTTGCATCAGGAACCTTGAACAATTCCGCATCCACAATCACAGCTATTGCATTACACCCATCAAATAATGGTTGGCAATTGAAACTTTCAGTTATCTCTCCCGTGCTGCATCATTCCCTGGTGGCAACAGGTAGAGCAGCCAAAAAGCCAGGGGCAGAGAGGAGGTGGTTATGTGTTCCACCGTGCTGCTGTCCACCCGTAATCCTTTAGAGATGGGGCAGTGTGCATTTGTGCTACACCTGATGTTGGCCAAAAGGTGCAAGGGGAGTAGAGAGGGAAGTGCTCATCTCTCCGGTGACTGGTGAGAGGGCATGGCTAAATGGCTTAAATCATCAGGGGAATTTCAGATTGAATACTGGGAAGAAGTTCTTCAATGGAGAGTGGCTGGGCTTCGGCACAGGGTGCTGCTCACAGCTGCCAGCATTCAAGAAACTTCTGCACAGCGCTCTCAGATGTATGGTTTAACACTTAGGTTCCCCTTTGCAGAGGTGGGAGTTGGGCTCGATGGCCCTCACGGGTCCCTTTCGACTCACGACACACGATTCTATTACTCAAGGTACTTCAGAGAGAATACACTCAGCACGAAAAATCCCTACGTAACATCAACTTTAACCTACAAGGCGCCATTTCACCTCCCCGGCGTTCCATTCGGGCGAGGCAGACGAGCACGAAAAGCCACCCAGCAGCCATCCGGCGGGGGATCACCAACCCCAGCACCTTCCCGACGGGCTCCCAGCCCCGGGCCGCCCGCACATCGCGCTCCCCACGTACCCGGCGTGCCGGAACAGAGCCCCGCTGCCGCGCACGTGGAGGCGGCGCCGCGCCGGATCGCCGCCCACCAGGAGCTGTCCGAGTGCTGAATCGGGGTAGTGCTGCAGCAGCCCCAGCGCCATCGCGTACCGCGCCGCCCGCCGCCCCGCTCCGCTCCGCCGCTCTCGGGCCCCGCGCCGCTCCGCGCCGCCGCCTGCAAGCGACGGGACGAGGGGTTCGTTACCGAGGGTTGCCGCTGATCGCTAATTGCGGGCAACCGGGGAGTGCTTAGAAATGAAAGAACTCGGCGTCGGTGAGGCCTCGCCTCGAGTGCTGCGTTCGGTTTTGGGCATCTCAGTACGGAAAGGTGCTGGAGCAGGTCCAAAGAAGGGCAGCGAGGCTGGGGAAGGGCTTGGAGAAAGCGGCCTATGAGGATAGACTGAATGAACTGGGGCTGTTCAGTCTGCGGAAAAGGAGGCTGAAGGGAGACGTCATTGCTCGCTTCCAATACCTGAAAGGTGATTACAGCAGAGTGGGGCTGATTCTTCTCACCGGTGACAGGGCGAGGGGAAATGGCCTCAAGTTGCACCAAGGGAGGTTTAGGTTGGATATCAGGAAAAACTTCTTTACAGAAAGGGTTGTTGGAACCCTTGGAACCCTGGCACTGCAATGGGCTGCCCGGGGAGGTGGATGAGTCACCGTCCCTGGATGTGTTGAAAAACCATTTGGATGTGGTGCTCAAGGACGTGATTTATCAGAGAGCTGTTAGTGTTAGGGTAGGATGGTTGGGGTGAGGTGGGACTCGATGGTCTTTAAGGTCTTTTCCAACCTGAGTGATTCTATGATCCTATGATTCTAAGAAGTAAGGGCTGTTCTGTTGTGACACAGGGAAATGGGTTTTAGCTAAGAGAGGGGAGATTTAGATTGGAGGTAAAGAAGATGGGTTTTTTACACTAAGGGTGGTGAGACACAGGCCGTCCAGAGAGGTGGTGGTGTCCTGTCCCTGCAGACAGACAAGATCAGGGAATGGGGCTCAGAGCATCTGGTGGAGCTGTGGATGTCCCTGCTCAGTGCAAGGAGAGGGAGCAGGAGGCCTTTAAGGTCCCTTGCAACTCACAGAATCACACAGAATCACAGAATGGCCAGGGTTGGAAGGGACCTCAAGGATCACAGAGCTCCAATCCCCCGCCACACGCAGGGCCACCAACCTCCACATTTCATAGCAGCCCAGGCTGCCCAGGGCCCCATCCAGCCTGGCCTTGAACACCTCCAGGGATGGACGGGGCATCACAGCCTCTCTGGGCAGCTGTTCCAGCACCTCACCACTCTCACAGGACAGAACTTTCCCCTGACATCCAACCTCAATCTTCCCTCCCTCAACTTCAAACCATTTCCCTTTGTCCTGCTGTTATCTGCCCTTCCAAAGAGATGATTCCCCTCCTGTCTGTAGGCTCCCTTTAGGTACTGAAGGCTGCAATGAGGTCACCCCACTGCTTTCTCTTCTCCAGGCTGAACAAGCCCAGCTCCCTCAGCCTGTCTTTGTACAGGTGGTGCTGCAGCCCCCTGATCATCTTTGTGCCCTCTGGACCCTCTCCAACCCTGTCATTTTTGTACTGGGGGCTCCAGACCTGCACACAGTGCTGCAGATGGGGCCTCACAAGGGCAGAGCAGAGAGGGACGATCGCCTCCCTGCCCTGCTGGCCACCCCTCTGCTGATGGAGCCCAGGATTCCATTTGCTTTCTGAGCTGCAATCACACTCTGCTGGCTCATGTTAAGTTTTTCATCCATCAGGACCCCAGGTCCTTCTCCGCAGAGCTACTCAACCATTCTATGATTCTATAACTTCCCAGCATATCAAATGTCCATGCAAATGAGTTGATCTTTAGGACTAGAGGGAATGGCCTCAAATTTGACCAGAGACTCAGTCTGGATGTTAGGAAATACTACTTCTCCAAAACTGTGCTCAGGCACTGGAATGGGACGCCCAGGGAGGTGGTGGAGTCACCGAGCCTGGAGGTGTTCAAGGAACGTTTCGATGTTGTGCTGAGGGACGTGGTTTAGAGAGAACTATTGGTGATAGGCAGCCAGTGGGACTGGATGATCCTGTGGGTCTTTTCCAACCTTGGTGATTCTGTGGTTCTATGACACAACTGTTCAGTTCACAGTTGACTGTATTAACGCCATTCCTGTTTCAAAAAGTTTATTTCACAAACGAACATTAAACGTAGTGCTCATAAGAAAATATGTAATGGTGACAGAATGATAGATTGAGGTTGGAGGGGAACCTTTGGAGGTCACCCAATCCAGCAGGGCCAACCCGAGCAGTGCGCCCAGGACCAAATCCAAACCACTTCTGAATACCTTCAGGAAGGGAGGCTCCACAGCCCCTCTGTGCTCTGCCAACCTACATGAAGTTCGTAGAATCATAGAATGGTTTGGGTTGGAAGGAACCTTAAAGGCTCCCACTCACTGCAATGAACACCCACAGCTCCATCAGTGCTCAGAGCCCCGTGCAGCCTGACCTTGGCTGTATATCCTATCTAAATCTCCCCTCTTACAGTTCAAAACCATTTCCCTCTGCTCTACCACAACAGACCCTGCTAACGATTCTGTCCCCTCCTTTCCTACAGCTCCCTTTTACACACCGAAAGGCCACCATCGAGTTCCCTCTGTGTACATTGTATTACCTCTGTAGATCCTCACAGCCTCTGTAAGTTCAGGGATTCCCAAGGTTAAAGCTTCCTCCTCCAAGGCATCAATGTTGGAGAAATCATCAGGCAGCAACAACTTCTTGGAGCGGAGAAAGTTCACTTGGAAATAAGCACAAAACACACAAAGTGTGCGCTGGCATCCTGTGCCCAGTGCTCAGGTCTAGCAAAAAGAGCTCCTCCTGACTTCCTGCAGCATTACCATTCCTACATACCCACATGCACAGCAGATAATGTGCAGCGTGCCATGAAACGAAGCCTTTAAAATCGATAGCCTGCAAATGAGGCTTGTGCTGGAGGAGGCTAAACGGAGCGTGGATAACCAGGTAAGCACAGGGTTAGGATGCTTCTGTTCATCATTGCATCCTAAGAAATTCACGATAGAGGTTTGGCTGATTCTTTTTCCTGCACGTGCTTCCATTCTGACCTGCCCTTAAATGTGTATTTTCCCATATGCCAACAGTAGCTCCAGTTCCTGATGCCATAATGCATTTTAGTTTAGCAAACCATTAGAGTAATGAAAGATAAATAAGCAGGACCACAGGAGGGTAATTTCAGGTATGAGACTCCAGCAGGCACCCGGTGCACGTTTTGCTTCTTAACGCAGTGAAACTGGCAGACAGCAAAACCAAACCAATAAATATTAAGGGGTTCCAGCCTTTATAGAGGTATTACTGGAGATGGGAAGGAATGGTTTATGTCATAATAATAAACATGGTTACCTATGAAGCGGAATTCACTGGAATCACATTCTATCAGGGCCGCATTCTCAAGCAGCCACAGCAAGTTGTCATCGTTGACCAGCACCGGATATTTTTGCACTAAATCGAATGGCAAAAAGCAGTAATTCACTTCCTCTTCTGTATCAAGTAAAGGTGTATCCACGAGTCCTAGGGGAGTCCTTTCAGGGAGCCCTAAGTGAAGAAAAGCAGAGAAGAACCAGTTAGATAAAGATGGAACTTCCTGGCTTGCACTGAGCAAGCACTCCTAAGGATGCAAAAGAAATCTCAGGTCCCTTCTATAGGGTTTCCTACATGCAGAGTGAAAAGCTGAAGACAGGAATACCTGACCAAGAGTTGCATGTATGTCCTTCTGTGTTCCTGTGATGAGGCATCAGGGAAGAAGTTGTGCACAAACCACTCGCATCCGTTCAGCTTGGCAGCAGCCAAGAGCTGTGAGCTGGGCTCACTCCAGGCTACCCAGCAAAGGAACCTCACTGAGAGAACCTGGGGGGGTCTGGGACACCTACCTGCAAACACCGGGCTTCTAGGAGGGATCTCTGATGGTTTGTTGGCACATTTCTGTGCTTTCCAGTTATTCAGAGGCTCTCTTTCAGCTGCTGGTATGTCTGCAGGTTGGACACGTGAGCCGTCCTCCTTCCAATCTCCTAAAAGCTGTTCAAATACATGAAGTTTTTCTATGCAGTAACTTCAAAAAACAAAAAACAGCCAGGGGAAGGAGTCCCATCCATGCCATGCTGCAGCTCACACCTACTACAGCATGCCATGGAACCCTGTGCACAGACAGGAACAAACACAGATTGCCTTCCTAACATTTTGATACCTAAAGTTAGCCGGAAAAACAAACCAACCAACCAAAATGAATGGAGAATACCTATAGGAATGTGGAATAAAATCAAAGCCATTTATACATTCCAGATAAAGCCAATTGTTGTTACAGCGCTTGAGTTCTGATGGCACCGGTTTCTGTTCTAGCTCTGGAATCCAAGAGTCCTAAGGGGTGGAAGGGAGCTCTGGGGGGCACGGCGTCCAACTGCCCACTAAAGCTGGGTGCCTACAGGAGGTTGGCAAAAGTAGAAGTGTGCAGCAACACAGAAAGCCAAGGAAGGCAACAGGGAGCTCCTTCTAGTGATGTTTTTACCCCACACACTGAAGGGATCCATTGATTAGAAACGGGAATTGACGTTTGGCTCAGTTATGGCTCAGTTACAGTGATTAATAATAGTCTCTATGCTTCCTAATCTTTATAGGATGATAAATCCCTTTAAAGCCAAACAAACTGTTGCAGGCTGTTGCCGGATATCAAGTACAAAGTAAATGTGGGAGCCGTGGTGTCATGGTTTTATGATTTTTGGTTATGACTTCCAATGCACGCACATTCAGTACCTCCATTAAGTGAATGAATAAGGTGGCACTGGCAGCCACTCACAAGCCAGAAACAGCAGAGGTTCTGCTTTGGGAGTGTTTTTGGCGTGGCCATTTCTCTTTATCTGCTTGGATGTGCATCGCAGGCACTGCTAAAGTCTCACATGCATTCCTTGACATCCTCGTACAGATGGCACCATCTAAGAAATGAACGTATATCATCTCTTAATAACAATGAGGCATGTCTCAGGTACTCAGAACATCCCATTTTACCTGTGCTAAAGGTGTCAGCTGCAAAACTAAGGCTTGCTCGTACAACAAATTCAATTCAGTGCAGCTGAGAGAAGACAATTCTGAAGTCTGCACGTAATAATGGAGGTGCCTGAACACAAAACCATCCTGGTCAATAAATAACCTCAGATTTTCAGACCAGTCTTGCACAGAAGCCTCCTTCCACAACAGAGAGTCAGGAAACCGAGCGACTTGACTTCGGGGAAGTGAGAAATACCATCCACCAACGTTAAAATTAAATGACTCTTCTTCTGCTGGTTCAACGGTGCGCCCCGGTTCCTTCAAAAAGAAAAGAACACGTCAAAAGCAGGAAGGAACCTGGAAGTGCTGAAGCAGCGTGCCGTTTTATTTTGACATCCCATCGGACTCTGTGTTTCCCATCGGTTTTTTTCCCAACCGTAAAGATTCTCTCAGCTGCACCAGGTGGGACATTGGGAACCATTTATTGTCAGAAAGAGGCGGTGAGGCATCGGCACGGCTGCGCAGGGAGGGGAGCGGGGCTCACTGCGCCTGGGGGCATCGAGAGTGGATGTGGCACTGAGGGACGTGGCCTGGAGCGGGGAGGCATGGGCTGCAGGTGGGGCTGATGGCCTCGGTGGCCTTTCCGACCTTCTGTGATGCAGGTTTTTGAAGCAGCTTGTTGAAAAACAAAGCACGGGGCAAACGGCGCAGAGCACCACATCCCAATCCTCGGTCCTTAGTCTGCGATCACCAGTTGAAATAGGGGCTGCTTTTGTCGTGACGAGACTGGAACAGCATGCAAACAAACACCTGCACGGCCTCCCACACAGCTCCGAGCAGCGGGGGAAGAACCGCAGCATCATGAAGCTGGGGCAGCCCACCAAGACCATCCAGTCCAGCCATTGACCCATGGTGTGGCCGCTCCAGGCCACGTCCCTCAGTGCCACATCCCCACAGCTCTGGGCACCTCCAGGTGACTCCACACCTCCCCAGCACCTCGCTGCTCTTTGGGAGCACAAATGGTTCCCAATATCCCACCTGGCTCTCCTCAGGTCCATCACCCCTTTCCCCATCACCACCACCTGGGCACAGAGGCCTGCCCCCGCCCTCCTATGGTGCTTTTAAGGCCCATAGGCAGTTTAGTCTTGCTGCTGCATTGCACCCAAGCGTGGGTTTGGCTGTGGTTTAGCACAGCGTGCAGAAGGGCTGAGGGAAGGCTGGCTGCAGCCCTGGCCTGCTGTGCCACTGCCACCGAGGGGTGGCTTTGGGCTGGAGATGGAGAATGCAACTCCTGCAGCAGGAAGAAGATAACGTGAAGCTGTGATGCCTTTCTCCCTCGCAGAAAGGCTGCAGGAAGGGAGCAAGAAGGAAACTGAGAAGAGGAAGGGGAACAAATGGCAGTGAAGGAAGGTGAGAGCTGAGCCAGATTGGCCGGGTTGGATGGGGGCCTGGGCAGCCTGGGCTGCTATGAAATGTGGAGGTTGGTGGCCCTGCGTGTGGCAGGGGTTGGAGCTCCGTGATCCTCGAGGTCCCTTCCAACCCGGCCGTTCTGCCATCCTGCAGCTCGCACAGCCTTCAGTGCTGCTCAGCCCCAGCACCGGCCTGCAGCTGAGCGGCTGCTCTCTCCCACTGAAACACCGCGACATGGGGCAGCCCAGCACGGCGCTGAGGAGGGAGGGGGCTGGGACCCACAGAGCGGCTCTGCTCCTCCATGGCGGCCGGCCGAGCAACGGCAGCAACGGGCGGGGACGGAGAGAGAGCGGCTGCGGGGGGGCACGAGGGGGGTGGGGGGCACGAGGGGTGCAAATCCGATGTTCTGAGCGGGGAAAAAACTGACACCTCGCTGCGAGCGGGTGGGAAAGCGGCTGGAACGGCTGCTGCTTAGCAAAGGGGGGAGAAGGGGCTGCGAAGAGGGGGGGGAGAAGGGGCTGCGAAGGGGGGGGGGAGAAGGGGCTGCGAAGGGGGGGGGGGAGAAGGGGCTGCGAAGGGGGGGGGGGAGAAGGGGCTGCGAAGGGGGGGGGGAGAAGGGGCTGCGAAGGGGGGGGGGGGGGAGAAGGGGCTGCGAAGGGGGGGGGGAGAAGGGGCTGCGAAGGGGGGGGGGGAGAAGGGGCTGCGAAGGGGGGGGGGGAGAAGGGGCTGCGAAGGGGGGGGGGGAGAAGGGGCTGCGAAGGGGGGGGGGGAGAAGGGGCTGCGAAGGGGGGGGGGGAGAAGATGCTGTGTTGCCCTTGCAGCAGTAGGCCATGTGGTGAGGAAGCAACAAACGGCTGTCATTCTTTATTTTCCCATCAGGAAAGTGGGTTGTGCTTAAATAAATTAATTTAAGTCGGTACATCGTTAATGCTGGTGTATAATTAGAAGTGGGGAGCAGCATCTGCGTTGCTGTACAGCCCCAATGGGGTTGTGCCTCTGACGTGGCTGTGTGCTCACCTCTGATCAGATCTGTGCCGTATCTCTGGGATGTGCTTGGAGGCAGCCTGCTGCTTTCATGTAAAATCGGGGTTTATCCACTGCAGAATGTGAGGGGTCCCAGCCCAACCTGGCTCCCTTTGCTCCCCGCAGTTCTAGCCAACTGTTCTCCATCTCAGAGGACAGAGAGAACAGGAGGGGTTTTGCTTTGGGTAGCAGCAGCTCTCGTGATCTTTGGAGCTGTGTGAGCATCCCATTGTGCTGCATGCCTTCAGTTGTGCTCTCACCTGCAATGGTGCCGTGTGGAATTAAAGCATCCAGCTGTGCTACGCAGCTTCTGCTGCTCTCACTCTCCTGCTACACCTGCTCCACTCCCTCTGAACCAACTTCATGCTGCTGAGGATATTCCAGCCAAGGCCACGCTGTGCTGGATGAGGCTGGATGGCCGCTGTTGTCCTCAGCAGCTTGGGCAGCTTGGATCCATTCTTGGTCGAAAAGCTTTGCTGTCAAAGAGATTCGGTGCTTGGAGAATGCCTATGGGCAGTGCTATGAAGCAGGCTGCTGGGATTCTGGTTTCTTGCTCAGGTTGGAAGGAGAGACAAATGATACATGGAAGTCTTTTAAACACGAAGTGAGGTGAAATCAATGCATATACGGCACCTACGAGAGCCTTTGATTCCTAAGTGCAGGCTGTTATAAAGCTGTTGGCATGCATTTTATTTCTAAAGTATCTCCTAAATGAAGCACGCACCTCTATAGAGCAGATTGATGGAGTTGCTGTGCTGTCCTGGCTGTTCACTGACCTTAGGGTACTGCTGGAGGCATGAGCTGAGAAATCAAAGAGCTCTGCATGCTTCTCATACCAGCAGAATGGTACCATGAAGGCTGGCTTAGAGGCATCCTATAGGATTGTTGGGGGGGGAATTTTCATGGCAGTCTTTTTGTATCTCTGCAGCCCAGAACTTGCTTTTCCATCTGGTGGATGCTCACCTGACAGCTGCCCAAAGCTCCTCAACCTCTGCTAGAAATCCCCACAGTCCAAAGGACTCAGCCTGAATCTGCTGAACTTGATGGAATGGATGCTGCTCTGGTGGGTGCTTTTTGCTCTCTTTCTTTGTGAGCATGCTAATGGAAATTGAATAAGAAGGTAACCTTATTGTGAAGTTTTTAATCAGCACAGCTTCCTTGTAATAACGAAATTGAGAAGGGATTAATCACCTGATTTAATTACTGAGAGAAAAGATGGCTTCCAATGGGATTTCCATCTCATGTGTTCTGGACACTCCTCGTGCATGGGATCAGCCTCTCTTACACCAAGGCATTGGTTCCCACAGGTTTGCTGCTCTCCTCTACTTTTGGCTTAGTGGAAGTTTGTCGAGCGTTGCCTGTTTGGTTTGCAAGTATCTCCAGTTCAGTGACTGCTGTCTGCTGGCATGGCTCTTGTTTGGAAATCTCTGCAGCTGGGGCTTTGGGGCTGCTCTCGTTTTTGTGAGGTGGTGATGAAGCCCTGCCAAGTAGAATCACAGAATGGCCTGGGTTAAAAAGGACTGCAGTGATCATCTGGTTCCAACCAGATGTGTGCAAGGTCTCCAACCAGCAACCCAGGCTGCCCAGAGCCACATCCAGCCTGGCCTTGAATGCCTGCAGGGCTGGAGCATCCACAGCCTCCAACATCTCTCCTTTGGGCCTGAGCTGAACAGGGCTCCAAGCACGCATCAACCCTCCTGTCCTTAGCAGAGCATTTCAAAGCCTTTTCTTTCCCTCCCTTCAAAGATACTGGGGCCAACCAGCACCTCCTTGTTCATCCTGTTGGCCGTTGCTTTGCCAGCAGCATCCCACAGGATCCTTTCCAGATCTCTCACCCATTCCCAGCATTGTTTATTTATCAGTATCTGTGCTGGCCACGGAGAGGAGCTGTTTGGCTGCGCTCTGCCTGCTTCTGCTTCCCAGGAAAGCAGGCAAACAAACACCCATCATTCTGCCTCTGCAGCCTTCTTCCTGCTGGCTTTGGCCTTGTGTCCAGCCCTGAAATGCTGTTTGTCTGTCCTCTGCTCATCAAGCCTTCAAGCAGCAGTTCTCCCTGATCATCCTCCATGCGTGGCCGAGTTGCAGGAATTGCTGCATTTCCCACGTGCTGCACATGCACTTCAGCTGTGGTTTTGTGTTCTGTCTCATGTACTCCTCTTGCAGGCAGGGGCAGGTCTGAGCCTCCGCTCTCTATCAGTGTTCCTGCTCCCTTCCTCAGGCTGTGGGATGCACCAGCTCCAATGTACCATTTCCACCTGCAGGAGGAAGCCAGCTCAGCCAGCTGTGATGTTCAGCCATGCGGAGCTCCTCGTTGTTCTCAAAGCTCTGCTTCAAGAAAGCGAGTGAAGCTGGGTTTATGAAGGATGGAGCTCAGCAGGTGGAACCTTCTCTTTAGTTTGTAATTCACTTCAGTTTGTGCTGGCTGAAAATCCCAGGGCTGCCAGGCTGCATGAATCCCAGCTGAATCTGCAGCAATAACATGGGGCAGGAGCACAGCAGCCTTCACCCCACATTGATCTGCAGCCTCGTGCTCCTGCTCCTTGGGTCTAAGATGCACAGTGCAGGTTGGGCTGTAGGGCAGATGCTGCAAGGAAATGTTTAAATCCAAAGCTCAAATTTGTTCCCAATTAGTCCTAAAAAAAACAACCAAACCCAACCACCACCACCCATCATAACAAATATCCATAGTAACATCTCTGTTTAGGTTTGTTTTCTGAAGTCACCTCGGCTCCCTGCCAGCATGCCTGAATATCTCCTGTGCCTCGTGTGCTATTGTTTGCTGAGGTTGGTTCTGCACACGTATGCATGAATGCTTTGGAAATGGCTTTGTTTTTCTGTTCTTTAAGTATGTCTTCCAAACAAACACCCCGGAGCAGCGGCACAGAGGTTTGCTTACACTGCACTGCGTTACTCTCAGTGTCATTTATCACTCTCCAGGTGGATCACCCAGTGTTGGGAAGCTCCTAGGACCTGCCAGGCACTGACACAGCTGTAGAGATGTTTCATTCCTCTGATTCTACAGCCCTCACAGGGGTAGGGTTAGGGTCTCCTCACAGCTATAAAGAGTGACAAATTCATTCACTGAGCCTGCAGGCTTGAAAGCCAACATAGAAATGTGCCAGTGCAGTGGGTGGAGAGGAATATCCTGGCTACAATGGATTTACTTCTTCAGGAAAAGAATCGCGGGTCAAAATGAGAGACTTTTGCAATGAGAGCCCCCTATGGGCTCCCAGTGTTTTTAGCAGGCAGGTGAGCACAGGGTGCAGTTATTAATCATTGTATGACAGCAATGAAAGCAATCTTAAAACGAGTCATGGTTGTAGTTGTCTAGAAATACAGAGGTTAAGTGCAGGCTTCCTCAGTATATACATATTTTAGTGTGAATTTGAATAGATGGAAGGCAGTATATCTCTTTTGAGACATCATCGCTGTGTGTACACTGCTGAATGCCTGTCTGCCCTATGAGTCCTTTCTGTGTCAATCTCACCCGGCTCTTTTAAACACAAACGTCTTCCTGCTGCAGCAGCCACGTACAGGGAGCGCTCACAGAGCAGCTCCTCCTCCCCAGGAACACGCTGCTCTCCAGCCATCAGCCCGTTGTGAGGAGCAGCAGGGCTGTGACCAGCATGCAGCTCTGCCCGGCGCTTTGCTTCGCAGCAGCTGAGCCATCATCCTGCGTAAGGAGAGCAGAGCAGGCGTGAAGCAGGGCTGTGTTTGTTTTTATATCCCACAGAGTCCTGCTGGAGAATCTGATCTTTGCACTGGCTCCGTTTCTCAGCCCCTGTCCTCCTGCTGCACTGATGGGGTTAACGAGACGTGGGGATGGCTCCCATCTAATCACATTTCAGCTGAGATCGTGCTGTGCTGGGAGGAAAGGCATCGAGTTGATTCAATTTGCTCTGCAATGGCACTGCATCAGCATCAGCGTGTGCCTGGCAATGAAGCGTTGCTTGTAAGATCTGTATTCAAACCAGGTCTTTGGGCTGCCCAAAACACACATCCCAGATTAAAATGACCCCTCGAGGAGCCCAGCCCATCACCCCAGGCACTGGGTTGTTGTCAAAGCACAAAGCCCTTCCTTTAATTCTTCTAGCCCTTCCTTTTACATTTCAGATCAGCCTGGAAGCTCCCAAGGGAAGCAGAGAAATGGCTCATAGAGTGGAAACTTAAGGTCATCTTTTGGTAGCGTCCCACCTGGATAGCATCACTCTTTCCAGCAGCGTGGGGCTGTAGCTTCAACTTTAACACTTCTTCTTTCTGCACCAGCTCCATTCAAAGGGGGTGAGTTCGAAAGGAGCTGCTTTCGTGCTGCAGAGCCTCACTGTGTCTGCTTTGCAGTTCATCAGAGCAGCTCACAAAGTTTCCAGGATGGAGCTGGCGTTCCCACAGGGCTTCAGCCATGCCAGGAGCCCGGAACTGTGCAGAGGGAGCAGTGCACTCCGTGCTGCCAGACACTGATTGCTTCTCTTGGCCTCGGTTTCTGATTTATTTATGTGAACTTCATGACACCCGAGCAAGGAGCCCAGGAAGGCATCAGATCAAACACAGGCTGACTTCATAGGGCTAAAAACGTCTCAGGCTGCCCATCGTCAGCCACGTTACCCCTTGGATCTGTGCTGACCAAGGGGACCTGCTGGATCCTGCAGTGAAGGAGGTCGCTCCCACGCACCCATCAAGGCCAAAACTGTGTCTTTATAAACAATGCTCCGTTTCAGTGACGTGGCCACAAGGAAGAGGTTTTGCTGCTTCCCTTGCAAGTGGTCAAAGTTAGCATCCAAGGACCGAAGTCAGCTGGTCTGTTTGCCTTCAGAGAGGATGGCTTCATCTTTCCTGCTCCTTCAGGGAGATGCTGGAGAACCTGGAGGTGCTTGGGAACAGTGGGGATGTGGCACTGAGGGCACAGTGGGCACGGTGGGGGTGGGTCGAGGGTTGGACTGGGTGATCTTGGAGGTTTTTCCAACCATAACGGTTCTGTGTTTCAGGCTTTGAGTTACATCTGAGCTTGTCTGAAACCTCAGTTTTTCATGGTATTTTTTTAGCTCCATTGCAGGGGGGAAGGCCTCTTGCCCCCACCCTACTGAGGCCCTTTTCCCTATGGAAGCTCATAGCCCAGGGTCCTGCCTTCTGCTCAGGAGAGCCTTGGATCTGCTTGAGCACAGGAAGGGAAGGTGCCAAGAATAAGCTTGCAGAAAGAGAAGATAAATTAATGAGGACCAAGACTGCTGGTGTCAGCAGGTACAGAACTACTGGTACCAGTGAGCAGGAATGGAGGGCTCCATGATCCTGATGGGTCTCTTCCAACCCAGGATATTCTGTGCTTCTGTGTCTCCACCGTGTATTCTTCACCGTGTTCCTGCTGCCCCGAAGGCTTTGCCCTCTCTTTGCCTCCACCTCCAGCCAGTCCTCCTGGTTCCCTTGGGCTGACAGTGACACGCTGTGGATTTGCTCTTGCCATCCCATATCCTCTCCCAAGCCAAGGGAAAGGAACATGTGGAAAGGGGAAAAAAATGGGCTGCAAGCTTAGTGCTGGGACCTCGATAAATGCAAGTGACATAAATGCTGGCTGAGACACCTTCTGCCTGCTGGCTCCTCTGCTGCTAGGGAGTTATGCTGGCTGTGAAGTGGCTTTCTGGAGCTGGTGTGGAGCCAACCTTGGAGCAAATGCTCGGCCAGAGCCAATTCATTAGCAAAGGGAAGCGGCCGCAAGCCCTCCATTTAGGGGGGCTTCACATGTCACTTCACATGGCTGAAGGCAGCCCTGCTGATGATGTTTCAAGACCTCTGCTGCCCCAGCAGCCAGTGGCACCACGTCAGGCTTCGCTGGTCAGCCCCAACCTGGTGGCCTGACAAGTTTTCCACCCACCCAGCCATCCTGTTCTTTGTGTCTCCTGGAGCAAACCATGCTAAAGCCACACTGAAGTCTACAGTCATAGAATCATTAAGGGAAAAGACCACTAAGATAATCACAACCAACCACACTCCTCCCCTTGGCTACCCACCACTTTGTTGTAGAAGGCCATGGGGTTGCTCAGGTGTGCCATGCCCTTGTAGGTCCTTGGTGGCCATTCCCTGTCATCTGCCTGTCCTCCACCTGCCCAGAATCACCTCCCAGGAGCGTTTGCCCCACCGCCTTCCTGGGGACTGAAAAGCTGCTCTCCAGATCTTCCTCCTTATCCTGTCTAAAGTGAGATATGACATTTGTCTCTTTACATCATCTTTACATCAGCTATCCCTGTGATCACCATGGCCTTCCCAAACCTTAGGTGGGAGTATCGATGTTGGCCAGCCCCTCCTTGCCATGTTGAAAACCCCACTGACAAAGTTGCTCTTTAAGTTGACCCTGCTGGGTCTTTGCCAGCACTGCTTGCCTTGGGGCTGGCTTGGTAGGAGTGGGATGTCTGTGCTGCCCAACCCAGCAGAGAGGTCCAGCCGTGTGTCCATTGCATCCTCACCATTTGTAGGCCGTGTGGTTGGGTCTCGATTCCCCAGAAGCACATCAGATCCTTGGGCCAATGACCAAGCTTTGAGGGTTTGGGGCAAACACAGCACTTTTGGCCTCTGGGGAGAGGTTGTGAGCAGATCAACACGTTAACGAGCTTTTCAGTACCATAGGGACACCTTCCCAGTATCCCCAATTTGCCCAGGGGTCCCACAGCCCCTCACAGAGCTGCCCTGATGTGGGCATTTCCATTCCTCCTGTCCTTTGTCAGCCCCACTGGCCTGGCTGCTCACTGCCTCATCGCATCCTCCACTTGCAGAAGGACAGGGATGGTAGCAGTAGTACTGACCCTTAGGAACCGTGGTTCAGCCCAGCCCCGGGCATTTCATGCCTCCTTTTGCAGGCAGATAATGGGAATCAGCAAAGGGGCAAGGACCCTGGACAAGGGGCACAGGCAGCCCCACAACCCTCGTATGAGCTGCTCGAAGCAGAGCTGACACCCTCAGCCCATCGCCGCACCAGGGAGCGATGCCAGCACCAGCCCAGGGTCAGCCCACAGCCTCCTGCCTTTACAGAGGGCGGTGCAGAGGGATGTGAGCTGGCGGGCAGCCGAGCCGTGAGCAGCTCCTGCAGCGCTGTGAGCAGCAGCCCGGCGCTCGGGCAGTGCTGACACTGCGGGCGTTGGGGTGGCAGCGCCCTGCCCCAAGCGCCACCCCAGCTCAAGCGCGGCTGCTTGCTTCCCAGGGATGGTTACCAGGAGCCGGCGGTGTGTTTGGTTGCAAACAGAGCGGGGGCCGGAGCCAGGCGCTGTGTTTGTGCCTGCGGTTGCTCAGGCAACTCGGGGCCAGCCAGGAAGCGAGCCCTGAGGCTGGCTGAGAAGGACAGAGGGATGGACAGACGGACGGAACCAGAGGCGGGGTGTCAGTGCGGAGGGGGCTTTATTGCGGGGTGACAGCGCGGGGCTGCGGCATCCTTTGGTTCAGGCTCCTTGGGGGGCAGTGGGAGCCCACGTGGGTGCAGAGCTGGGGGCTCGGGGACCTTTGGTGGCGATTGGACCCCATTCTGGGAGCTGCGCTGGGAGATGGGACCCATGGCAAGCGGCATCCCGATGGGGCGATGGGGCGATGGGAAGGCTGCGACGCCAGGGGTGGGGAGGGTGGGCTGCGGTTCCGCAGGGCCTGAGGTAGGGAGGGCCGAGGTGCCGGCAGGGCACCCCATGGAGCAGCTCTGCAGAGGCAGGGGGTGATGCACGAAGGACGGACGCGGCGCTGAGACGGAGCCCGGCCGCTCGCCCGTCACATCCGACATCCCGCCAGCGTGGGGCCGGCCCCGGTGCAGCCTCCCAGGCCCTGCGGCCGTGTCCCGAGGCCGACGTGACCGAAGGCGGTGGGCGCGTGGGGCAGTCCCTACTTCTTCACTTTGGCATCGTAGGTGCCCGCGTTCTTGTAGGCGCTGACGTAGCCGCTGTTGTCCACGATGTTCTCCCGCCCGCTCTTCCCCTTGCCTTTGCCCGTCTCATCGAAGCGCTCCTTGTGTGACCCCGTGTACTTGGAGGTGTCAGTCAGCCGCTCCACGGCGCCCACGTTCTTGGCTTTCTGCATGGGGACGTGGGCGCAGCGGATCAGCCAGCATCCCGACCCCATGCCTGTTCCTGACGCCCACCGTGAACCCAAACCCGAGCCCATAGGGCTCCCACAGAGCACAGCCCCATCCTCAACCCCGTGCCCCCCGCTCTCACCGTGACGCCCACATTAATGGGCTCCTTCCCAGCCACCAGCTGGCAGATGGCCTCGTACGCCTCCTCCTTGCCCTTGTCCTTAAAGCGCTTCGGGGCCAGCTCCTCCAGGGCCTTCTTGAACTCCTCGTAGTTGATGACACGGGCTGTCTTCCCTCTGCAAGCACCAAACATATGCTGTGAGCATCACCTTGTGCTGGTCCAAGCCGCATGGTGAGGACCCCAGAATGCTCTTCTCCCAACCTGGGGTTCCTCAGCCACCTCCAAAACGCAGTAGGGCTGCACTGGTCAGGACAGATGGGCTTTGCAGCCCCGTGGTGTTACAGCCCTCTGTACCTAAACCTCACTGGGGATTTGGGCACTGGTGATGAGATGGTGATCTGTCATCATTGCTTCTGACCTCCCCTCATTGCCCAGCTTGGCACAGAGCTGCTGTGCTTTGTTCTTCCCCAGTGGCATCACTTCGGTGCCCAAAGTCACTTGGCTCCAGCTGGGAACAAGAGAACCCAGACAGCAGTGATGGGGGAGCGGCATCCCCATCCATTGTCACTTTTGCACCCTGGTGCAGCACTGATTGCTACCACATTCACAGGGACCACAGAAGCATCCCCAGGTCAGAGCCCTCCCTGAGCTCAAAGCTGTGCCACACCCCATTGTACAGCCCTGAGCATCCTCCTGTTGGGATGCTGGATGAGAAGCTGGGTTCCCACCTCCTCTGTGCATGACTCAAAATCTGAGCTTCAAAATCTGAGCTTCCCATTCTGCAGATTTGCACTGATTTACAATCAACACCCACTGCACCATGGAGAGGCACGGGAGACCCCAACCAGTCACTTACTTCACTTTGGAGAACACGATGTCCACGTCGGTGCCGGTGACGCTTTTGCCGTCGATGACTTTGCAGTCCTTGCACAGCTTGGCCCAGTTCTTCCCATTCATCTCCTGCCCCGTGGCCTTGGTGTCGCCATAGATGGCGAACTTGCGGAAGCTCTCCTCCAGCGATGCCATCTCAGAGCTCCCCGCCATGGTGCCGCAGGACGGGGTGGAGCGGCCCCTCACCGCCGGGATGCTGCCGACGGCTGAGAGATGTCTTCGGGGACGGCGGCTTGGGATGCGAGCGCGACAGCCCACCCCGGTCCTGGCCACCACCCTCTCGCAGTCCTCAGCCGGCTCCCAGACCCGCGTCCGTCGCCAACGCGGGTCCCCCCCCCCCTCCGCCCCGTTCCCCTCCCGTTGCCCAGCGACCGTCGCTAAGGGCAGGGCTGCGTTGCCTAGAGACCGTCGCTAGGGCTGGAAGGCGCGGCCCCGGGGGATGAGGACCCCTAAGGGAGGGTTCGGGATCCTCGGAGCGGTCCCGGCCCCGCGGTGCCCCCCGCCCCCCGCCGGCTCCCGGCGCCTGTCCCGCTCTCACCTCCCGGTGCCGCTCTCTGGGCGCGGCCGCCGCCGCCGCCGCTGTTTAAGGCCCCGCGCTGGCGCCGCGCCGGCCCACGGCTGCGGGAGGGGCTGCGGGACGGAACGCGGGGCCGCCCCCTCCCGCCCTGCCCGGACCGACACGCGGCCGGAGGTGTCCGCCCGCAGCGGCCGTGCGGGGGGAGCCGGGAGGGAATGGGAGCGGGGGGACCTGGCTCCGCTGTGACACCCGGAGCCTCTCCTGGCTCTACGAGAAAGGACCGGCAGCTCCATCCCCGCGTCCTCCCTCTCCCGTCCTTCCTCCCTCATCCTCCATCCTCACTCCTCCATCATCAAAGGCTGGAAAATCTCTCTCGGATCCCCGACCCCCCCACTGCCCACGTCCCTCAGTGCCACATCCCCGCGGCTCTGGGACGCCTCCACGGATGGTGAATCCTCCCCAGCCCTGGGCAGCTGTGCCACTGCCTCACCGCTCTTGGGGAGCAGAACTGTCCCTAACACCCGAGCTCCTGGATGGGGGTCCACGGAGCCATGCTGAGAGGCAATAAGAAGCTGTCGCTGAGTGGCAGCCAGGAGGAAGTTGGATGTTTCTTGCTATTTTCTGGATATATTTTTTTAATCTCCTTGGAGACTAAGAGAAAAGCAGAAATGCTTCTATTGCCAAGCACCCACCGAGCCTTCCTCCTCTGCCCACCTCGTACTGCTCTTGTAGGCTGGAGGTCATCTGGTCCAATGGAGAGCCCAGAGCAGGATGCCCTGGAGCACATCTCACAACGGACACCCCAGGGACTGCTGAACATCTGCTGGGATGGAGCTCAAAGAGTCTGGGCGGCCAAAGGGTGGCAGCCGAGGGGCGACACATCTGGGTGAACAAGGGCTGGCACATCTGGGGAGCCAAGTGAGAAGGGCCCGGAGCCGAGCCGGGCCTGCTGCCCCATCGCTGCCCCACGGGCCGGGTCGAGCAGGTCAGGTTTCGGTTTCTAAGGGCCGGGGTTTGTTGTGCGTTTGTTGTCACTATGACAGCCCTGTCAAAGCCAGGTCCTTGTTGGCTCCTGCAGCTCCTCACACAGGAAGGAAGGCCGGGAGGAGGCCGGGGCTCAGGCTGGAGCCAGGCAGGAGGTCCCACGGGCCGAGCACAGCCATGGCTCCGTGCCCAGACCCCGGGGACTTTCCCCTTCTGATGATTTCCAGAAGGGATCGGGGTGTTCCCAGCACCGTGGAGCAGCGCTGGTCCGATGCTCACCCTGGTCTGTGCCAGGCGTGCATCCCACCCCAGGTCACCTGCAGGATGCTGAGCTCAGAGCGCAGCCCAAGCAGGGACGCGCAGCCCCTGCACCCCATCCTCCTCCCGTGGGCACTGCCAGTGATCCCGGCCCACTGGGGAGCAGCGGGGTGGGATGAGGTTACGTGGGAACGCCGCTCCTATAGAGCAAGTTGCTACAAAACAGAGGGAAGTGTTTCAGAGGTTGTGCAATATGTATATGGTAACCCTGGAGACAGCTTGTCCAGAAGGCATTAGCGGGGCTTAGCTGTGTCTGACAGCACACGCGGTGTGCAGGCGTGCCCAGCCCCGCTGCTCTGCCCCACGGCGTGAGGTTTGGGGCACAGGGGTCACAGCTTCGTCCTCCTCCCTCATTCGGGCGCTCCCAGCACGGTCACATCAAAGGTGTTTCCAAAGGAAGGTCACCCTGACTTCAAAGAGAAGACACCGCATGATGAAAGCAAAGGGGTGGACGGGGCCGTGATTTACAACCCGGCGCTGGGAAGGGCCCCAGAAAGCTGTCAGCATCCTGAGGACGCGCCGCTCGTTCCTTCTAAAAAGCTGCAGTGTGTCCTGCTGGAGCTGGGCAGCCCGGGGCACCGCGTCCTGCTGCTGGGACAGCCTGCTGCGGGGGGCAGCTCAGATGCTGAGCGGCACTTCTGGACATTCTCCTGGGGCACAGCAGCTCTCCTGGGAGCTGAGGACATCCCAGCGTCACCATTTCCACTCCTGGATGCACAGCACGCATCCTTAACGCCCAACACACCCAAGTCAGACACCT